GTATATCTTAATGAGGGGCACCTAATAAAAATATGAAAAAAATATTTCGCAAAATATAAATTGACCAAAATACTCCTGTAAATTTTCCGGGGTATTTTGGTCAATTTATATTTTACGAATTAATTTTTGTTTATATTTTTATTAGATTCACGTAATAAATATATATATTTTATTATATATATATATATAGAAAAAGCTCCTGTCAACAGTGTAAGCCAAACGGCCCAGATTGAATATAGCCGTTTGCATTTCGTAATTAAATTTTAATTTTTTTTATACAAATCCATATAAAAATTTAGAGCCCACCTCAAAAATTTCACTAGAAGAGATTGTTTTGATGCCCAAATATCCCCAAATTGATCATCTCGACATCAAGATGCAAGGATATGAGAACAAAATGGATTTCAAGTTTTGGAAATAGTGCATTTTTGGATCGTAAATTTTCAAGATTTTCGAGTTTTCATAGATCTACTCGATCGACACTATTTTTTAATCTTTAAATTTTATAATTAGAGATGAAAATATATTGTAAGGCTACCACAAAGATTTCCAGTATTAAAACCATATTTATTTCTCGACACTATTTGAAGGTGAGCTTTACTTTGATATTTTAGAGCCTTGGCTCTATACAAACCGCATCCGATAGATAAAGGCATGATTTTGATTCTTTCTTTTCCATTTTTCTTTTATTCTCTTTAAGAATGTAGTGCTGGTTGCGATTATCGTCTGATCACTTTCAAGCCCATTATTTATTTTGTATGTATTGAGGTTCTTAAACTATTGGACTTTGATATGGTACAAAAAAGTCTCCCATGCCTTTAAGTATGTTGGCGTCGCTGTGCCAAGACTGATATCCCATTTGGTTGGATAGTTCTTCCTTTCTTAAGGAAGTTTTGCAGTGCATTGAATGTGGGTCCACTTAGTACTCTTGAAACTCCTTGCTTGAAATGAAGTGCGAAGATCTTTTTCTTGAAAAAGATATTCACCCAGCTAGAAATTTGTTAAAATATAATATTGTTGAATGTGTTTCTTTGTATAATTATTTGTTGTTTGTATAAATATGTATTGTTTGTTTTATGTTGGTACATTGTATTTATTGTATTGGGTAAATATTGTTGAACTTGTTGGTTTGTGTTAATAGTTATTGTTTATTTGGAGTTTGTTTGAGTATTTGTTATTTATTGATTATTTGTCCTTTCATAGTAGTACACTATTTGAATTTGTTATGTAATACTCACTTTTTATGAACCCTAGAGTAGTTAGAAAATACCCAAATTTTTTGTATTTTTTACTGTATCAATTTATTGTGACACAAATTTTGCGATTCATTTAATACAATAGTATCGACGATGGTTACTAAGGGAGTGCAACTGGTATTCCGATATAGGGGGTCATTTGAGCGAATGCAGATGACAGTCGTATATTTTACAAAGGGGAAAAATTGAAGGTTACGAAGTATAATAGAAATAGTTATTTGGAGGAAATAAAAAGTCATTTTGGTAATTTAACAATGTATGATCCAAACAAATTAACTATTATGTACCACAACACAAGTCTTCCTAGTATGCTTGATTTGATTGATGTAAGTGATGATGTGGATGTATCTTTTATGTTGGGAGGGGAATCTTCGAAAATTGTTGTAAATATTGCATCTACAATGGAGCCAAAAGGGGAATCTATTAGTGAAGGTCCATCTTCAAGAAATAGCTATATCTATAATTTAATTTTTCATCTGTAATTTGCTTTAATTTATTCTTTTATGTACAGAAATTTTATTGTTGCTTCATCTTACTATATATATCTTTTGTCAACAGTTGGCGTAACACTTTGCCTCATCAAGATCAAAACATTCAAGTGGTGCCTGACCCTGAGCTTGTACCAGAGCGTGATATGGAGGATATTGAACTACTAGAGAGCCCTTGTAGAAGTTGGTAATGAGGTTCAATTGAATACAGAACAATATTATAAAAGTGTCAAAGAATGTCGACATCATCTTGTAGATTTTGCAATTCACAATAATTTTGTTATGAAGTTTGACAAAAGTGGATTGGGACGGGTATGGGCAAGTTGTAAGGAAGAGAGATGCACATGGCAAGCGCGATGCTTACGAGTTGGCAGTACGGCTTACTTCAAAGTTAAATATATGGTTAAGGAGCACACATGTAGTGGTTCAATGGGGAGGGTTCATTAGCCACTAGCTCGTAGTGATTGGGTGGCCAAAAAAATTAAAGTCTGCCTTATTGACCAAACAAAAATTAAAGTTAAAGACATTGTAAATGATGTTCAATGTGCTCACGGTGTCAGGCTTTCCTGCATGCAAACTTAGCAGGGAAAAGAAGTTGCTAGAGATATGATAGATGGATCACATGAACAATAATATCATGACCTCCCCTTGTATGCGGAGAAGCTTCGAATATCTAACCCAAGAACCGTAGTTCGCATCGACACAGATGAAGGCAGGTTCAAATGACTATTCATTGCTTATCGTGCATGCATTATGAGTTTTGTTAATGGATTCATGCCACTAATTGGTATTGATGGGACATTCTTAAAAGGAAAGTATCAAGGCATATTTATTGTGTGTCATTTCTATAGATGCAAATAATGTACACTTTCCAATGGCATTTGCAGTGGTCAAGAAGGAGAACTGCTAGAATTAGTATTGGTTTTTGAGTATACTGAGTGAGCTATTATATGAGTTTTCTAATCTGTCTTTCTTAACAATTATATCAGATCGACAGGAAAGCCTACCAGAAGCAATAGAAAAATGCTTTCCTACTTGTTTTCCAGCATTCTACATGCGACATATGGGAAAGAACTTCAAGGGCTTCAAGAAGAAGTCAACAAACACTGAAGTATTGCTGATGTTGTTTTGGAAGGCTGCCTGTAAAGCAACCATTAGTGGGTTTGAAAAAATTATGTTTGACATACAGTATGCCGACCCAGATGCATATGAATAAATTAAAAATATCCCTCCAAAATATTGGACAGATGCTTATTTTCCAAAGATAAGATACAGTCATCTTACCTCGAACATAGCCGAGTCATTCAATGCTTGGATAATGTATGCTCGAGATAAGCCGATCATTACAATGTGTGAAGAAATAAGAGTACAGTTGATGATCAGGTTTGAAAAGAAGAGGGAGTTAGGTAATAGTTGGAGCAGCCTGCTAGTACCAAAAGCCCAAGATTTATTGGACTTGCGAAAGATGAAGGCTAGATTTTTCATACAGTTATATCTGCCATGGATATACAGCTTGAGATCCACTATCTTGGGAAGAAGTACGCTGTCGATTTAACTCATTGGACATGCAGTTGTAGAAAATGGCAATTGAGTGGCATACCGTGTACTCATATGATTGTGGCTATTAACCATATGCATTTGGATCCCACAGCGTACTGCCTTCAGTATTTCACAGTTGAAACATTTAAAAGGGCCTTTCAAACTCCCTTTAGGCCTGTCCCGGATGATATTGAGTTGACTTGTATGTTCAACCATACAGTGTTGCCACCAAGGACGACACGCCTTCTTGGTAGATCGAAAATACAACGAAAAAGATATGAGACTAAACAGCCCATCACCAGTCCTATGAAATACAAACGATGCGGTACAATCAGTCATAATAGGAGGATATGCAGAGAGCCGATAGAGTGAATTATTTATTGTCAATCTTGCATTTTAGAATGGAATTGACAATTTGATGAATTAATGAAATGAGTGATTTAGATGCCGTCAATCTTGTGTTGAATTAATGAAATAAGTGATTTAAAAATGCTTATGAACAACCAAAATTGCTATATATATATGGCTAGGAATCTATTCCTTCCAAAGAGGTATGAACAATTTGTAGCTTGTTTGGTGCACAACAAAATACTTTCCTAAGGTGGAAAGGAAATAGCACAAACAACGACCCTACAAAATATTTTCCTAAGACGGAAAGGAAATAGCACAAACAAGTGTTGTATGACAAATAATAGAAAACTTAACAATGTCGATGTCATAGTTTTAAATCCGATTCAACTCAAGAATTCGCGAGTTAGATCATTGTAAAATATTGTTTTGAATACTGTTTTAAATGTTAAAAAATGAATTTTCAAGTAGATCTATAAACACGACATTGTAAAATACTGTTTAGAATGATAAAAAATGAAAAAAACCATTTTCGGCTGTTGAACAACCAAAAATTTGATTTTGGTTGTTGAACAACCGAAATTCTAGCAATTTCGGTTGTTCAACAACCGAATTGCTGACTGTAAGAAAATTGGGTTGTTCAACAACCGAATTTCTGAATGTAAATTCCAAAAGCTCCCTGGATTTTTTCAGTCAGAAATTCGATTGTTCAACAACCGAAATTTCTAGAATTTGGTTGTTCAACAATCGAAATAAACATTCTTTTGAATCAGAATTTCAGATGTTGAACAACTGAAATGTTGATTTCAACAACCGAAATGGACATTTTTTTGAATCAAAATTTCGGTTGTTGAAAAATCGAAATTCAAGAAATGTCGGTTGTTGAACAACCAAATTTCTGACTGTAAAAATCCAAGGAGTTTCTGGAATTTACAGTAAAAAATCATAATTTTTGTTGTTGAACAACCGAAATTAGAGCAATTTTAGTTGCTCAGCAGCCGAAAATTGTTTTTTTTTTTTTTCATTTTTTTAAGATTCTAAACAGTATTTTACTTTTATGTTTATAGATCTACCTGAACATTTATTTTTAACATTTAAAACAGTATTCAAATGTTTATAGATCTACATGAACATTCAAGATTTCCATTTAGATCTACTTAATTTTAACATTTTTAAAGTTTAAAATTTTATAATTAGATATGAAAATAAATTTTTAGATACATGTTATGATAAAATTAGGAGGTGCATTTTTAGATGCATTTTGTCATAAGCATTTTTAATATATGTTATGATAAAATTAGGAGGTGCACCTTAATTGGATTGTTTAAGGCTGCAACCTTATAGAAACTGCATTCTATGTATAGGACGACTAACTACAAATAATTCCCAAAAAAATAGAGTCATTTACAACATCTTTAAGAAACTATAGAAATGTATTTAATGACCATTACATTGTCCTTTCATAATATTACAACGGTAAAAATGACCATTGCCAAAAAAATACAATTATGGATTCCGCCTTCGCTTCGGCTAATACTGCTTTTGTCTCGTGTTATGTCTTCTACGCTCCTCAACTGCAGGTTGTGTGAATGGAGCCAAGTCATCAACAGCAGCCTGACTACTCTCACCCACTACATTTTGTCCGCCCTTTTCTTGTACAGCTTCTTCATTAACTTCACGTTGTAACAATTCTATCCTGGCTTCTATATCTTCCATGTTGACCGGCACAAACTTAGACAATATTTCAAATGCGTTATTAACGCGACTGTACACTTCAGAGTACCACTTCTATCTAAGTGTAAGTGCCTCTGCTACTAGTCTGAATTGCACTAACTTGTAAAAACATTTTGTAGGTTAATAAACATACAAACTGATTGGCAAATACAAAACTAAAGCAATTTGTAGGTTAAAATATACATACCAAATCATCTTCATAACCTAGAGGTCTCATTATATAATGTGGTTCATGTACAGGAACCACCTCTTCTTTTTCCTGGTTACGAGGTTGCAAAATATCAATAGGTGGGTTAGTGACATTGTGTATCATAGGATGTGACACTCGGCTGTACCAAGCCTTGTACTCCTCTAAGGGCAACGCATTCGCAGTATCGAACTTCAATGTTTGTCATCATGTGATCACGACGAGATAACCAATGATGAATCTTGTCATAATTGACATCTTGCCAATCTCGTTGCCCACCATGTCTGATGGACCTCTTACCAACAGATAAAGGATTTCTTGGAATGCCCTGTTTACCTCCAAATTGGCGACAAACACGATCTGGCATATATGGCTCGGCAATATCATCAAAGATCAGAGTCGTTACATACACTGCAGTTTCGAATGCTTCATGTTTATCATATGAAATTGCCTCATCAGGCTTGAAGTACGGATACCATATTACGTGTTATATGAAGTGCAATCACACATATGACAATCAATCAATACAAAAATTACAAATACTATAATAAAATTACGTGTTATATGAAGTGCAAAAATTACGTGTTATATGAAGTGCAATCACACATATGACAATCAATCAATACAAAAATTACAAATACTATAATAAAATTGAACGTATTGAATATCAAAGTACTAACTGACCTCATTTGGTTGGAGGTTGTCTAACTCTTGTCTAATGGGAGTTATCAAATTATGTGGATTGCCATAATTATGCTTGGGTGGCTCCCACCGTTTTCCCCTTGGCATATTTGGAGATATATTATGCGGTATAGGTATCATATGCATAATATGCTCATAAAACTAGCACTGCATTATATTAAGATATGATAAGTTAAAGAAATATTTCAAAGTAGTCTAAAGTATTATGCTTATATCTATACAAAAATTAAATTTACCTGCATAAGAGTGGCAGAACCACTGAAATGTCTTCGCTTGAAAGTACAAGCTTTTCCAAGCAAACGATATAGATATGCGAGGGCTGCTGCACCCCATGCATATCTGTTAGCTTGCTCAATATGATCAAAGAATTGTAGGTAACTTGTTGGGATTGTTGCAACTGATGCAGCAGTAAAAATAGTAATGCTGATGGGGAAGACTAGATAGGCTCGAGTATATCTGACTATTTACACAGGGGATGCATCAAGTGGCAATTCCAAAATATTAGCCTTCAACCATGAATGCTTAATGGTTGTCAAGTTGCCTTCAGTGGACTATACCCAAATTGTCCTCTATGAAGTTGCGTAGGTCACTGATAGGGCAACATGTAACAGGCTTGCCATCCACAGACAATCCTAAAATCTCGTACACATCAAATAAAGTTGGTGTCATCTCACCAATTTGAATGTTATAGTGGAAGGAATTGGTCTCTGAGCGTCACCTCTCTACATTGGTAGCAACCAATGGACGATCAATTCGACTTGGCCGAATGATAGACAGAGCACCTAACCCAGACGTATTCACTAATTAAACTTGCTCTTCAGTTAGTCGCCAATCGTTCAATTGAAATGTCTTCTAATCGATTATAATTTCTTGTTTTTCCTGAAATATAAGAAATATGACACATACAAGTCACATTATATATACACAGGTACTTCCCATATGCAATTGAAACAAACAAAATTTATTAAAATATAACAAACTTCTGGAAATAGTAGATGAATATATTCATATACCTTTCTTTCCCATATGTAATATGATGAATGCTCTGGATGAAGCTGTAGCAAGCTAGGTTCCTGAGGACCTCCGGGGTACTTCCCCTTTGGATGGACTTACCCCCCCTTTGGATGGACACGACTGATAGTGACTGAAATCAAGACAACAATAACTCATCATGCATATTAAAATGGCATTATGCATTTTTATGTACATTACTACTCTACGACAAGAATGCGATAATAAATTTACATATCCAACTATAAATGGAATTACTAACACATCTGCAATTCGTAGGTAATCTATATATGAGTAAATCATATATCACTAACAATAGAATGGGGTCGTATGTAATCCATATATCAGTAAATCATATATCAATAACAATGGAATGGGCATGAAGTATAAAAGGTAAAATTTTTGTTCTTATATGATAACTAAGACAACGTACCTATACATCTCTATACCATCTCTATACCTAGTCAAAATTTATGCTATAAGAAATATTGAATTACAAAACCCATACCCACTCATTATTACTCCATTTCATACAACTAAAAGATTGGTTAAAGGGGAAGAAATAAAAACAACAATTGTTTTTTGCTTTTAATTATAACTCAAATGTTATTTATAACAAGATACATACAACAACATCCAACAACACAGAGCAACATATAAAAATTCATATTAAGCTACTAAATTTGAAATTACAAGTCCAACATAGCATAAGTCATACATCTTCAATTAAAACAGAGGGTTCTACGTTAAGCAATAGATTTCAAATTACAGATGGATTCATTTACATACAATCACAAAACATTTCAAATTACAGATGGATTCATTTACATACAGTCACAAAAACACAAACCCATTCAACTAATAAAACCCCTAAATTTGAAGTTCTCAATAACCCTAAATTTACAAATTCGTAATTAATAGATAATACACAAACATAATAACAGCTATATATTTCAATTTACATATGGATTCCAGCCACAATACACAACCATATTCAACTACTGATTAATGAAATCCCCAAAACGAAAAATGATATAAACAACATCCAAAAGCTTAAAAAAATAATTGAAATTTCTCTTAATAATCAAAATATATTGTCATAGGCATTGTCACAATAACACATTTAACTATATTCAATTATTGATATCGATTTATAATAAAACTCCCAAATTTGAAGTTCTCAATAACCCTAAATTTACAGATTTGTAATCAATAGATAATACACAAACATAATAACAACTATATATTTCAATTTACATATGGATTTATTTTCATACAGCCACAACACAACCATATTCAACTACTGAATAACGAAATCCCCAAAACGAAAAATGATACAAACAACAAACAAAAGCTTAAAAAAATAATAGAAATCTCTCGTAATAATCAAAATATATTGTCATAGGCATTGGCACAACAACACATTTAACTATATTAAGTTACTGATATCGATTTATAATAAAACCCCCAAATTTGAAGTTCTCAATAACCCCAAATTTACAAATTCTTAAACAATAAATAATAGAAAAACATAAATCAATAATTCATGTGTATCATTCAAAAATTAAAAAAGCACCACAAACTCACAGTTATAAAAATCCAAAAAGTAAAGTTATAAAAACCTCAAATCATATAGACCTTCACTACCAATTTGGAATCCGCCAAATGCGTCAAATGTCGTTATTTCTTATCAAAATACTAGTGTCCAAATTTAAATAGTTATTTAGGTTAAAAATGTAAGAAAAATTGGAAATGAGGGGGATGAAGTATTTTCGGATGTTCTTCGACCGAAACAGCCCAAGAACAGTTCTGTTTCATTTTTTAAAAGAGCCCCAACTAATTTCGGGTGTTGAAAAACTAAAATTAGATTTTCGATTTTTCAACACCCGAAAACCCTAATTTCGGTTGTTGAACAGCCGTAACTAGAGCGGGAAGGTTAAAAGACATATTCCCATTTCTGGTTGTTGAAAAACCGAAATTTTTCTGATTTCGGTTGTTCAAATGCGAAATTAGGTAAAATTGTATTTTTTTAAAAATCTCGTTATGAAAGTGAAAAAACTGACATGGAGGTAATAACAGAAACTAAAAGGTGGATTTGTAATAACGCATAATATAACAGATATATACATAATTTTCTCAACAAAATATTATACTTGAAATGAATTAGGAGTTTTTAGACAGAGGAGAATTAAAAGAGATGCTTGAATAGTTTTGAAATTATGAATTAAGAGTTTAGAGAGAGAAGAATTAAAAGAGATGATTGGGTGATAAAAAGAAGAGACTAATTGAGAGTGTAGAGAGAGAGCGAGAGGAATTAAAAGAGATGATTTAAGAGCTTTGAGAGTGATGAAACGGAAGAGGTGAATGAAGAGATTTTAGAGAGGAGAATTAAGAGTTTGAGGGATGAAGTTTTTATAGGTCTTAGGTTTTATGAAAACAAAATAAAACCTCACCTATAATGTTCTTTAGGAAGCATTGCGACATCAGATATCTTTTTAATGGCTATAAAATCAATTTTTAACACCGCCAATAAAATTTAAATCTAGAAAAATTGGTACAGATCAAGATCGGTGAACAGTTAATTTTAGGGCGAAACTGATGGTCTAGATGATTTTGGTAATATATAATATTTTTAAAATTTAAAATCTGAATTTTTTTGCATAACCACGGCGTTCAAGCTGAGAGGATCGATTTAAAGGTTTTCCAATATCTTAATTGTATTTTTTGACGAGTTATGTAGTGAAGCTTTACTCATTTTAATAGCGCTGCATGCCTATCAAACCATTTTCCATTTTAGGTTCGAAATTCGAACTCCAGCTGCCCTCTCTTATTCTATTACTTATATTGAAGTTCTAAACCAAGAGTAAGATATAAGTAAGTCATAATAGACGGAGAAAGTAGAGAGAGAGTGGAGGAGAGAGAGGGAGAGTAGAGAGGGTTGAGGAGAGAGGGTGGAGGAGAGAGAGGGAGAGTAGAGAGAGTTGAGGAGAGAGAGTGGAGGAGAGAGGGAGAATAGAGAGAGGTGAGGAGAGAGGGTGGAGGAGAGAGTGAAGAGAAGGGGAGGAGAGAGAGTTGAGGAGAGAGAGTGGAGGAGTGGGAGAGCAAGTAGAGAGAGAGTGGAGGAGCGAGAATTCAAAACTGTTTCAACTCCAGGCCAACGCAGGTTCAGGCACCAAAAAATTACATGCCATTGACTCTCTCTCTTCCGCACACCTGCTACTCTCTCTCTTCAACGCACCTGTTATTCTCTCTCTCCAACACACCTGTTATTCACTCTCTCTCTTCAACACACCTGCTATTCACTCTCTCTCTTCAAAACACCTGCTATTCACTCTCTCTCTTCAAAACACCTGCTATTCACTCTCTCTCTTCAAAACACCTGCTATTCACTCTCTCTCTTCAAAACACCTGCTATTCACTCTCTCTCTCTGTTCTACTTCTTATTGTTGGCATGTTGCTTCTCTCATATCTCGTGCTCTAAACAGTAAAAACCCCGACTGAGAATCACATTTCGTCATTATGAGTGGGAGAGAGAGAAGGGAACAGAAAAACGAGCAGATAGCTCAAGCTCTCTCTAAGCTCCCCCATAACAAGAAATGCATCAACTGCAGCTCCCCTGTAACTACACTCCAACTCTCTCTCTCTCTCTACAACGCTTCAAATCCTCAAATATGTTTTATGGTTTTTTTGTCATCGCTTTCACTCCCACTTGTTCCACAACGCTTCGAACCCTTTAAAAGTTTTCGGGTTTTATTATAAATCTCTCTCTACAAAGCTTCAGTGCTGAAATGCTTTTCTGCGTTTTTCCCCATATTACAGGTCCCCCAATATGTATGTTGCGATTTCAGTACATTTGTGTGCATGACTTGCAGTGGAATTCAGCAAGTGTGATCCAAACAATCCCCCCCTTTTTTTTTCTCTCTCATCGTCTCCTTTCCTTTTCTTTTTTCTTTATAAAATTCATATCAATGCTATAGTTTTTGGTTCTTTTTTCCTGAGCCAGATTTTTATTCGAATTAATGTAGTTTTCCTCCATTTTTGCTGCATCGAAAAGCCGAGAGTTTACACACAGGGTGAAGTCCATCTCTATGTCCAAGTTTAGGCCTGCTAAGGTAGCTGCTCTTCCTTCAGGTGGAAACCAGGTTAGCTCAAATGGGTTCTTTTTGTTTTATTCTTTCTAAACAAAATCTCTCTTTTTTGTCATAGGCAATCCTCATAAATGCTACTTATTTTATTTCATTTTCAATTTTTTTAGACTTTATTGTTTTCTAATCCAGGTTGCGCTCAAAATTTACATGAAAAAATGGGATTTCCAGGAAAAATAAACTCCCCGAAAACAGGTATTCGCTGACATTTTTACCTGTGTAGTTTCTTATTCTTCTTCTTTTTTTCTTGTGTTCCTATTCAAATTATATACCATCCCTTACTTTGAAATAGGATATCTTCAGTAGTAAGTGTTGGTTCCCAAAAGACAAGAGAAACCAATTCATTCCCTTTTCTTGTTCAAGCTATCTTTTGGCCTTTTTATTCTATTTTATTTTTTGCTATTTGCATTTGAATTCTCATTTGTCTTAGGTGCTTATTTATCTTTGTTTTGGATTTCTCATGTTGTTTCACTAGTGATTTGGAGAATTTGCGTAAGTTCATCAAACAAGTTTATGTAGAGAAGGCTTATGCAGCAGTGGATGCTTTTGCGAGGGGAAGGACAGTAAGTTCTCATATTCATATTAATCATTGTTATAAGAACTAATAAACACTGTGAGAAAGACTTGTGTTTTTTGTTCTTTTGGCTCTAAATATGTGAATTGAAATAAGATTTGCTCAAGTGCATGCTTTTACATTATAAGTATTATTTCATCACTTGAAATATTCTTATTTTGAACCCGTCATCTATTTTTTAAGTATTATGAACTCTGTTTCAGATATTTAGTTCATATTCAAAGGAAAAAGGAAACCTCATTATACTTAGATATAGGTAATTAGATTTAATCTCTTACTTTTTAAAAGACAAATAATATGGGTCTTTTTATGTTATTTTACAGGATGAATGTGGGTGTTTTTCAGTTGATCGAATATATCTGGATGATAATTTTGATGCAAGCCGTGGATCCTTCTCATCCTACAAAGACAGTTCTTCGAATCTCAACAAATTCAAGAGATTTCCAAGCTATGTTAGCAATAAAATTGATGGAACAAATAGCCATGGCTGGTATGATATGGTTAGAGATGGGCCAAGGCCGTTCTCTAATTATTCAGAAGATGACAGCTTTGAAAGGATTAAGAGTTTCTCTTCCTATGCCGAGAAAACAGGCTTGGATCAAGCAGGTGAAAATCCTACTGGCTTTCTAAATTGGGATGGTAGGGATGATATGGCGCAGCCATCCAATAATTCTTGTGGCTTTATAGAAGAAATTCCCCAGATCCAAAGTTTTCAGGGGAATGGATATGGTAGTGGATTAAGTCAAGGCATAAATTATATTGGGTTTGGAGATGCTGGCCTGTTTAATGGCTATTGTAATTTGAACAGCCAAAGTGGAGTTTCGGTTGGTGGTTTTGCTTTGCATGGACATCATAAACAATGCCTTTTGGTTAGTTTCCTTTTTATTGACATTAAATTGTAACCTTTCGATTTTCTCATGTTATTTTGGTAGCAGCTCTGTTGAAAGAGTGTTTACACGAATGCTACCGAAAAATCTTGTTTATTTACTTATGAAGAGCCTCTATATCTTCCAGTTTCCATTGTTTATTTTATTCACTTAAAATTTTGGATCGTGTCTTCCCCTTTTTATTTTGGTCGACCCACTTTGTGGTCAAAATGTAAGTTCCTCACATTAAACATTAGGGTATAATTTAAGGTTTAGCCTTTCAAGTGGTCCCACATGCTGCTTGATAAGAAAGGACAGAGCCCCAGCTTTTCATATTTTGAGTTTTTCCATAGAAGATAGTCATTCCAACTTAATGTATTAGTTACGATCTTTGGTCAACCCAGCACATCCAACTGGAAAAGAAAAAATGCACCATTATGGTGGTCAAATTGCTTTTTATATGGGCCACTTGAACTTGACATTGTAATATTGTAGACCCAATGTTCTGACTTCTGACCACTAAGCCACGATGGTGAACCCAAATTATAGGGGTCAAAATAGATAATGCGCTTTTCTTTGTTCATGTGTGTGTATGTGCTTGTGTGCATGCATGCACATGAAACTTTTTTTTTTGGCGACTTCCAATGCGTGGAAGCATAGATGGAATAAACACAATTTGATTCTGCTCTTTGGTTGAGGGCTTAGGATGGAAAGGGTGACGAATTACACATATCGAAGTCTACGTTCTTTGCCTATTCAGAAAGCCTCACAGGTTTTCCTTCTCACCAATGTGTTTCAGTCAGCGCAACAAGACACTATGTGCAAGGAATTGGTGCTGAAAGCGCTCTTAATAATGGATGGGCAACATTTGATCTTCCTCCTCCTTTTAGCAACAACAGCTCTCTTAACAATGGTCCTGCCCATATATATGGATCTAAGGAGCCCATCAATGGAAAAACTGAAAGTATCTCAAACCCCACATTTTGTGCAAGGGAAGGTTCTGTGAACCTTGAAAGTGATAATCAGGGTTCAAATTCATCTCTCTCAGGCCCCAGTGCAGGTAATACAACTGATTGGATGAAAAACCTTTCTAAAATATGCTTTAATCAGTATACTATGGAACTCATAGTTCATTGGGCAATCACCGTCAATTGAAATGATGGATGTTGATGGTGAGAGAATGGAACCCAAAGCCGTGGTCATTTCCTATTCTGGTGGTTCCCATGTTCTCTCCATCACTATTCATAGTTTCATTAGTCGGTGATGACCTCAATAGCATTTGGTTCTATGCTCCGTGGATTTCCATATACTATTCGTTGAATTGCTCTGCTTCTAATGTTGTTTCTTTCAGCATCAGCGGTTTCCCCGGTTAACTATTCCAGTTTGTAGGCTGAAAGAGATCTGTTATTGCTTCATCTAAAACTTGGAAAATTGCTCAGCACCTCATTTTTTTGGGGAGAAACAGACATGTTCAGAAAAATAAGGAAATTGTACAAAAAGTAGGAAATATTTTGGTAGATTTTTATCTAGTCTTGATTCAGTTCCAGTTCACTAAAGTCTTATAAATTTTGTCTTATGTTATTTCTGAATGGGCTGATCTGGCTGAACCTCAGGCTAGGATGATCTGTGTGTTATTATATGACCAATTTGCACGGTTTCATATGATTTGATTGGAACAAAATGTATTCGATATCAATGATTTCACTTCAAAATGGAATGTATATGAAATTTTTTGTGTTCTTTTCTACTTGTAGCAGTGTTGGAATGCATTTGCTTCGTGCTCTTCTTATGAAGGGCAAGAAATTCAATCAGAAACTTCAAATACTATTGTTTGTTCTGATAATAGTCCTTGTATCGTCAGCACACCAGTCGCTCAGCCCTTTGAACAGGTACTATTTCTCAAAGATCATCGAGCCAGTAGGTATAAAATAGATAGGTTAATTTATTCAAAAAATATTTTTGGACTGCAATTTGATTATTCTACGTTCGCTTTATTTGTTGTTTCTTAATGAAGAACTCTTGGGGCTGCTTCATTCTCTCTGTATAGCATCTATTGAACCCATTTCCTGCTACTGCTTTTTGGAGAACCAGAATCTCAATTGTATACTTCTGAGTGGGAAGCTGATTTTGCATCTATGCCAGAATACAGGAACCAAGATGAGGTATGTTTGATATTTTCCATGATGATGACTGGGTTTAGTTTGTAAAAATGGAAAAGTATCCTGCCCACATGATGTGAACAGGTGCAAGGGTGCACAAACACCCATCCAATGGTTGAGATTTCACAAGGCCTTACTAATGGTCAATAATTTATTTCATATTTTATTTTTATTTTTTATTTAAATAAAATATTTATCTGAATTTTAGAGTGTAGGTTTATTTTTATTAATAGAACTAAATAAAAATGATTAAAAATATGTTAAATAAACAATGACCAGAGTTTAGGTTTATTTTTATAGATAGAACTAAATAAAAATGAATGAAAAATATGTTAAATTAAAAATGACCAATATACCCCTATATTTATTTTTATCAATATTTTTTATTCAGAATAATTTTTTTTTGTTTTTATTTAATTATACTTATAAAAATGAGGCTAAAATCCAAATTCCAGATTAATATCCTTCTTGAAAAAAAATAAAAATGGAAAATAAAATTTATTTTTAGCCCTTGATGGGGATGGTTCAATCTGAACCATTAAAAGGCGCTTGTGCAATGTTTTGAGCATCCACAGCATGTGGACGCAATACGAACCCAACCCTATTAAAATTTAGGTGATCCTCTATTGTCTTCATTTTGTTGTTTTTACTGTCACTCTTGTTTATCATGACCTGTATCTCTTAATCTCATGGCTTTTGATTATATCATACCATAATGGGTCCTGAATTTATATCTTGCCTTTTGATTCCACTAGTAAAATGTTGGTACTTCTTTGAATTTGCTTCTTCCACTCAGAAGATTTGATAATATAAGGTACTCTAGCTTGAGTAGCTCATGAATTTTAGAACAAGAGCTACATCATGTTAATTTTAAACTGACAAATAGAGGTGAATATTGATTGGGAGGAAGAGTTAGGTCCCAGATGCATATGGGGTTGCTTGGTAGGATATGCCAACTTTTGATAACAAACTTTGATTTATCCCGTCGGGATGATAAAATAGTGGCCTAGGTATGACCTATGTAATAACATGTGTCACACGTGTTTAGAAGAATCCGACCCGGCAATGAACTAGGCATGAATGTCAATGTGCAAGACATAATACAGACATGATAAATCTGTGTCAACATGCATGTATGAAAAATTTTGCTTCTTGGATTTGTAGACATTGCGTGTTTACTATGTGGAAATGTGAGTCTACCCTTATGACAAACAACACATGCCTATCTGGTTTTTAGGGCACACATTACTGCATTGTAAGACACACATGTCTATTTTGTAAGTCATGAATGCCTGCACATCTTATTATTTGGACAAGTGCGTGTTTAATTTTGATCCAAATATTTGATTTTCAAGGCTAATTTTAATTAAAATCACATATTAATTCCTATAAATGGACTTGTATAAATGTATCATACTAGACTTGGCTAAATATAGGTAGGTGACTCGGATTCAAAAGATGCGGTTTCTGGTATATTTGCCTTGTAACAATAATTAAACAATTGTGTGGTAGGATCGTGAAGATAAATTTGTTAGTATTGCCTATGTCAGATTGCATGCAAAGTTAAATATCTCTATGTCATATACATATTCTCATAATTCACATAATTTTATCTTATGTATTTATCCATTTCTAATTTGGAGCACATCTTTTTGCTTACTTGTTTTTGATAAAAAAATTTAACAACTATTCACTAATAAATATTGATTTTAACATATCAATAGCTGTTTATTGTATGAATTCACACTTTGTAACCTAAATCAACAAACTTTCAGGATGTGACGGACTTTGATTTTTCCCTCAGTTTGCTCGTATTGATCTAGAGTTTGACTCTTTATCATCTTTTTGGAACATGTATAGGAGACAATTACCACAGAATGAATTCTCTTATCTGACCTAAAGAAAGACCATTGAGGGAACAAGAGGGTACAATTGTTCTTTCTTTTTGACTTTGCATAGATAGGTGTTCGTGATGTGAGATGCCTAAGTAACCATATCTATTTATTCAAATTTAAAAGAAGCGGTCCAAATGCTTGCACACTGAACTCTACTTCTTTTGGACATAATTGATGTTGCTATTGTTTGTAAGCATTGTATGATAAATTGGTAATGGCATTTCTATACAAGATTGACTAATGAAAAGTTGTTGCATTATCATTTCATTATGGTTCTCAACTATCAAATGGATGAAGTGAAGAATGTTATGAAACTGTGATTTTCAAGAAACCATGAAGAAGTGTTTGATTTTTGAATGGGTGTTCGAAATGAGCTTAACTCGTTACTGTGGCCAAATGAGGCATATCATTTACTAGTGTTAGTAATTAGAGATACTGCATCATTTCTCTGCTCTTAGGACATACGATTGATTTATTTTTCTGGTTTGTCTTTTGAAATTGAACCCAGGTGTCAGTTTCCTCTATTGATCCACCACAAAAGTCAAGGAATCAATTTGATTCTCCTGAAGACTACGTTCCAGTGCCCATCGATTTCCCTAGTGCCAGGTTGATCTCAATTCTCATAAGCTCTCCTAATTCTTTGCCAAGAAGCATCTTTGGTGATTACTGAGACATGGATTCAGGCAATAAGTGAAATGTATTTTATGTTTCAAGTAGTTTTTTAAATGGTGTTTTAAGAAAAATTTCCTCAACAGATGTAACTTACATAATTTCCTCAACAGATGTAACTTACATTTGCATGATCTCCCATTCCATTTGGATAACCTCTCCTTATATGAAACTTCACTAACTGGTGCTATATGTGGTCTATTTGTAAAGAAAATATGCAATAGAAGCTAGAACACATGCATGCTACATTTTATGTTTATGTATGAAAGGAAGCATACATAAATGAGTAGAAGTTCCCCTAAATACCATTTTCTTTGTTCCTACTAATCTATTACTTAATTACTCTCACCACAAAATGAAAAAAGTGAGAAAATAGAATACATACCGGTGAGACTATTTCAGGTATCCTAATTCAGTTTCTCATTGCGGATCAGTATTGGCCCCTGGGAATAATAAAGTAGTGGCGGCACATGAGATGCTGCATCCCAGACCACCTTATGTGGACCGCGAATGCCATCCCAAACCTACTATTCTGGGGTTTCTTTGTTACCATATGCCACTTACTCTGCATCTCTTGATAAATGTGTGTGAGTTACTGCCTCCTTTCTAGAATCCCTGGTTTGCTCAAACAAAGCCTGGCTTAAAAAATTGGGAACTATGTTAACTGTATCTCCTCTCCCAAACACAACATGACTGAATGCCCTCATACATGCAACATTTTAAATATTATATATTCCTCCTGATTTTGTCGGCCATCTTCTTTTCCTTAACTGATCCTTAATCTCTTGAATCTTTACCTTGTGTGGTGTTGTTTAGATAATCTCATCAGATTCTACCATGATGGTCCCATCCAGATATTTTGGGGTGTCATGGAGCTGCTTTTGCCATATGCCTCGATATCACATTGTACTTTTCTGATATGAATACGGTGTTGTGGGATGCATGATAATCAGTAATAGAACAGCTTTTAATCTCCATATATTATAAGTTCTTTATAATCATAGTTCTGTAAGGCAGAATCCATATGTGTTAGCATACATGATAATTAAAATAAATCACATGCAGGATTTAAGATCTCATTGTAATGGAGTTCTGCAAAAAGATTTAAAAAATCTACTCCAACAAATTTGTATGCTGGAACATGTTCTTTTTATTTTTCTTATGATGTCCAACATATTTTGCATTATAGCTCTAAGGATTAGATTTTATGACTACATGTAATTATTTGGTATAAACCAATGGTTTAAAAAATGGATCGGTGCCCCAGATCGGGCACCCAAAAACCCATCCGGATCGGGGAATCGGTGATCTGCATCGTGAATCGACCGAATCGGTCGGATTAAGCCTTAAAAGAAATCCAAAAAAATTATGAAAATTCATTATAAATGTTGTTTTTTAGGAATCCAATAAGAAATCGAGGTACTACATTATTAACTTTCATTTTTTCATCAATATGCGAATATTGAGGTGTTCTTTCTCTGTATGAACTTATTTTAACCATTAAATTTACATCACACAAAAGAAAAATCATAGAATTATCATGGATGAAGTATATAATCATAAATGGACTACAATAAAGAATGGTTTAAATTGATGAAAAATGGCCTCCAAAATCTCAAATCCTAATTCGTTAAAAAAAAAACCCAAATTATTACAACCTTAATAGAGTTTTTATGTTTTATTTGAGTAGGTAAATTTAAATTTTTTTTGTGAAGATACGGGTGGTGAGCACCCAATTATTATTTTTAAATTTTTTTTTTTTATCATATAATTTAATTACCACCGTCGGGCGTACACCGTTGGGCACACCATCGTAGCTTTTTACTTTTAAAGTCAAACTTTTATTAAAACCTCATGTGTTAGTAAAAGGCAAAGGTGTATTACACATGGTAATTATCACATTATTAAAGTGCTTTTAATGGAGGTTTTAATAATGTAATTATCACATTATACAATGTTTTAATAATTCCCACAAGTAAACGTCTGGGTGGGAATAGCAGAAAAGGAGGTGATAACGGTTGCGTGACTTGCGTCTTGAACATTAAAAAACCAGAAGTGACATTACCGCCATGGTCATGGACTGAGTGCTTGTGGGAATTATCCCATATCGAAACTTTAATAGAAGAGTTACATGGTATAAAGTGCTTGTGGCGGGTGTATGCTAATGTTAACTTGTTGGTAGGTTTGACACGCGTGCACCGCATGTGAAGCTCTTGTGAGTGACGTATAATGATCCCGTGAAACGCGGTTGACATCGCGGGCATCAAATATGCCTCCCAATTTTTTTAAAAATTTTGAGCTTACCCTTACCCATTGAAATCGCCCTTGTCACTGTAGCGACTCACCGAGTTATCGCTACGACTAGCCGGTTCGCCTGGGTCTAATCGGCCGATTCCATGCCGACTCATCGATTTTTAAACCACTGGTATAAACGACTGACTTCTAAAATGGTTGATACTGGTAACTTCTTTATGTCAAAAAACTCATGCTTTCATGCTGTTTGTGACAGCCAAGGAAACCAGGACAATGCTGTAGAAACTATGGACCCTTCGCCCTGCCTCTTGATGGCCTAGCTAGTCTATCACTGAGTTCAAGCTCACAAACTAAAGTTCCAATTGGCGAAGAGTTGACAAGTCGCAACCCTTTGACTGATCTGCATGCTAAGGAGTTCTGGTATAACTCTCTGTCTCTCTTTCTCTCTCTCTGCATACTTGTGTATGTTTGCATATTCATGTTTCTTGTATACTTGTGTTTCTTGCATACCAGTGATATAAATTTTAGTGGCTGTCGTAATCTGGGTCTCATGACAGACATTAAACTTTTTTGAAATCTTTTTATCGGTTTCTCTCTTTTCTCCTCTCTTGGTTGTAAGATATAACTTTGATAGAGAGGGGGTCAAGTTAGTGCGATGCCCATAGTTTAGTAACAGGTCTCACTAGTATGATGGCTGCTGTGGATGGATGGTATATTTCTCTTAGAGGAGGTTAAGAGGATTCCGTCTTTGTAGAGATGGGGAGAGCTCTTAGCAAGATCCTTCTATCATGCATTGGTAGGTGAACGGTGGATTGCCCCTTTGCAAACTAGTTTGGCATAATCAATATGGATCTATTTATGTGTAGGGAAGGTTGCAAATTGTTGGATCATCGATTTCTCCATCGTAACTATGCTAGTGCAGTATGATACTTTGTGCTAGATCTCTTTGGGATGGTTGGACTACACCGCCTTCAATGGCATGCTTGATCTGTTACTCAACCCGGGATCTCAGATAGAACTTGGATATTGAGGCAGTTACGTTTTAATTCTATTGCCATCATATGGGGGATTTTTAAGGAATGCAGTAGTCAGATATTCAAAGGTCAGAGCATTCGCAAGGTTGTTCTTCAAGCACAAATAAGAAACCATGACGTTACTATGAGGTAGTGCACACCACTGATAGAGTCATTGAAGCTGAAATTTGATGGGTGCCTAAGGGTAATCGAAGGCAGGGGGCATGGAAAGGACGCCAATGTGACCATTACACCATTCTAACTCTTCCTATGCAGACACATTAGCTTTGCATGAAGAATTGAAATGCTGCTCCCATAATGATGGGACGATCATCATTGAAGGCAATTGCCCAAGTGTCATTGAATGAGCTAGTAGATTAGTCTCTCACCCCTTGGTTCATGGCTATATCTTTAATGAAATTGCATATGCATGTTCCTTCTTATCTATATATTGTTTCATGATGTTATGGGGGAAGCTAATCTTGAGTCTGACGTACTTGCTAATGGTGGTGTGTCTCGTGATAGTTTATGGGTAGTGGCAGATAATTTCCATCATCGCGATGCTGACTCACCATCTCGTAGATGCATACATCTTGCTATTTGTTATTTTCTAATTCATTTTAATAAGTTTGCAAGTTATTGATATTAAAAGAAGCAACTCAACTTTAAGGTTAACATCTTCAAAAAAAGAAAAAGAAAAAAAGAAGTTACTCAACTTTGTAATGTGATTTCGATGTTTCTTAATGTGTAATGCAGGTACCAGTTCTAATGCTCCAACTCAGTTGGTGAAAGTAAGTATTATCTTGCCTACATATTATGGAACCAAGAGCAGTTTGTCAGTAATGTGTAAAATGGCAGGTAAGGCTTTGACTGTTATGTTTAAAGGGAAATTGTTTCATAATCTGGATGTTGGACACCTGGGGTGGACATATATCTTGAAAGAGTACTTTGTTTACCCTATTTTATTTTTTTTCCTCTTTGAATGCAGAAGGCTTTGTAAGATACTTGAAAGGACAATGAGGTAGACCCCTTGGGGCTAGATTACCCCTCCTCTCTCTCAAATTAGATCCTCATATCCAGAAAAAACTCTAGGGAAAAGTCTACATGCGGGTCTACCCACATCTAAAATATATGTAACTTGCATTCTCAATTATCCGATCAAAATGAATGGTTAAGATAGCGATAGCTTTCATCACATTTTTATGTTTAGATTATTATTTTTATATAGATTATTTTGATATGAAATTTGGGGTGTGCTCATTCTTGTAGGGGCACGCCCAACATGAATAACAGAAAATAAGTCCACTTGGTTTCAGACTTAGCGCAACCCAAAGTCATCAGTCCCTTTCGTTCGCACAACATTGAATCCTCAATGGTGATTGCTAAATCCTCTTTGAATCCCATTCAACTTGTTTCACTCAAACCTTGAAATTTAGACTTTGGAAATAACTTTTAGTTTCCTAGTCCTTCAATCTCATGCTTGAATGGTAAGTTCACTGGGATTTTCCTTGAAAAAATGATAATTCTTAATTTATGATTCGACAGGGGTTACTGCCTTAGAGTATTGTGCCTAAGTGAGGTGTGAGTGCCTCACTTGGCTATTAAAAGAGATGAGTAATCATTCTATTTTTCGATAGTCCTTTTTAGTTGAAATCTGGAGTTATTCTTGAGGGATTAAATATGTCCTAAGCTTAGTTGTGGTGCTTGAGTTGGGTTAAACTCTGACCTGGGAAGAACTATGGAGTTAATACAAGATGATGATGTGGCATATTGGGGTTCATTATATAATATCATGACCTCATCTAGTGCCCCTATTGTATTTCCATTATCAAACGAGACAACCTTTATCGATTTGTTGGATGAGTTTACAACAATTGCGCCTTCATGAATGTAGAATGAGTCTTCGCGGTGGACCTCTGTGGTGAAGATGGGCTTTGTGCTGCTGCTACTTCTGCTTCACCAATTGTTCTCTCTCTAAACTCAATTCCCGCGAAGAAGGTCCCCCTCTTATAGCTTGGAGTGCTTTTATGGATTGGTTGAATTAGATAAGCTTCTTGATCATTTGTTGTTCTTGAGCGTTTCATCCTTCAAATCAATGTTTGATGATGCCTTGAGAGAGATTTGGCAGGTTACAAGAAATCACATTCCAATTTGAACTATTTAAAATTGAAATTCAAATGTTAACAAGGCTTCTCAATTTTGTGATCCGATGCTTCATGCATGGATCGCTTTCAAAAGATTGTGATTTTGATTTAAAACCTTGTATAGGATAATAGATCACAGTTTGCGGATCATTGTAATCAAATTTCAAACCACGTTGAATTGAATTGGATTGAACTTTCATGGTATTGAATTTATGTTGGTCCTTATTAGCTCATAATCCCAATAGCTACGGCCACTAATCGAAAAGCATTGATCCCTTCTTGCGAGCTAATTTCCCCTCAAAACAATGAGTTTATCTTTCATCCAATTGTTTATATTATTTGAACAAGAGCCTCCCGAAGTGGGAAAAGAGCATGGGCTTAATTCGTTAGCGCATAACGATTTGCAACACTCCATCCTAAGTTCAATTCCTACAAAGGGCAGCAGTCCTCTCCCCATTGTCTCACCCAAAAAAAAGAGCATCTAGAAGTCTTCCCGTTGCATCATGCCTCAAACTATTTTGAGGTTGTTTTGATAGAAATGAGTTTTGGTGCCAGTTCCTGTGTATCAACCCTAACAACAACCTTAAAATTTCTTTCTTTCCGATTACACTTCTATTCAAGTGTCACAAAACACACCGAAACGGTAACATGTTTGTCTTTGTCCTTTCTACAAAGACACATAAATAAACCCCTATTCCATTTAATCCCACAATAAAAAAACAATGTTTTGCTTTCAATTGCATTTAATGCTAGTCAATTATACACCTACACAGTTTACACAAGGAGAAAGTTTATATAATGGCGAGGCTCTAAACAATCCAATTAAGGCGCACCTCAAAAATTTCACTAAAAGAGGTTGTTTCGATCCCAAATATCCTCAAATTGATCATTGAAACCTTAAAGTGCAAGGACATAAGAAAAAAATGAATTTCAAGTTTTGTAAATAGTGCATCTTGTAATGCATTTTTGGACCTTCAATTTTCAAGATTTCAAGTTTCATAGATGTGCTCGATATAAACTATTTTTGAAGCTTTAAATTTTATAATTAGATGTGAAAATATATTTTAAGGCTATCACAAAGATTTCCAATATTGAAACCACATTTTTTGACACTAATTGAAGGTGCATTTTATTTTGATTCTTTAGAGCTCAACTCTGTACAAACCGCACCCTTCACATAAACACGCCATAATGCATTTAGGACACTTGTAAAATATATAATATGACATACCCAAACTTATCCATCATAACTAATACATTACACTAACAGGTCTCCAAGTAATAGGCCATTGTGCCGGAGAAAAGCATCCGGGGAAGGTTCCCTCCCACGAAATTCAACAAAAACCTGAAACGTTTGCATAAATACAAATAAGTTAAAACGAATGGAGAAGACCCCAAGTTCACAAGAACTACCATGAAAAAAACTAGCACAAATATCGCCTGAGCAGATAATGAGAAAATCACTAGCACCAAGAAAATGCCCATGTTCACATATTCAGGGTTGGGAAAGTATGTTAATTGTTTGTAGCACCATGATTATGAAAGAATACAACAAAATTCATAACTAATAAATCAACTCACGTAGAAATTAATTTCAAGGGCCTTATAAGTGAGTATCTCGACTTATGCACTTAATAAGCTCAATTAGAAGCAACATTAAACTAACAGATCAGATACGTCAACATTATTTTCTTTATATAATTCATGTGTAAACATTACTTTTATTTTGGGAACAACTGATTGTGTGTAGACAAAATTTACAATATCCAATATCATTATCATCATCATCCGATCCTTATCCCAACTATTTTTTTTGTGGGGGGGGGGAGGGGGGAGGGGGGAGGGCGGGCACATGAATCATGTTACGCCATTGTGCTTTATCAGGGGCTATTCCCCCAGTTGAACCATAAGTTACCTCATCTTTTCTCACTACTTTCATCCATGTCCTTTAGGGTCTTTCCCTTGACCTTTTAGAGCCTTCCACTTGAACCACATTACCCCTCCGAACTAATGCTGTTTTAGGTTGATGTTGCATGTGACTAGACCACTTAAGTCTACTTTCCATCATTTTATCTTATATTGGAGTGACCTCTAAGTTTCCTCAAATATATTCATCGAATTACATCCATCCTTGTCTTGCTACTCATCTCTCTCCACATCTTTATCACAATTATAATTTCTCTTTAGATCATCATCATCATCATTCGAGCTTTATCCCAACTATTTAGGGTCGGCTACACGTATCATGTTATGCCATTCCGCTCTATCAAGGGCTACATTCTCAGTCAAATTATAAGTCACCATATCTCTTCTCATTGCTTCTATTCATATCCATTTGAACCTTCCCCTTGCCCTTTTAGAGCCTTCATCTTATATCGAATAACCCTTCGTAACTGGTGTTCTTCTAAGTCAATGCTGCACATGGCCAGACCATCTATATCTTATCAATCAAAGCTATGTCATCCATAAGGAAAATACACTAAGACAACTCATCCTATAGATGCCTAATTAACTTGTCTGTAACCAAAGCAAGAAGATATGTGTTCAATGCTGACCCCTTGGTGTAGGCCTCCTGTCATTGAAAAATTACTTATGCATCCGGTAATTATACTCACACTAGTTAGCGTTCCTTTGTACATATTCCTCACCATGTCAATATATCCTCTAGAGACTCCTTTCTTTCCCAACATCTACCAAATTAACTCTCTAGGTACCTTATCATATGCTTTTTCTAAATCAATAAAGACCATGTGAAGGTCGTTTATTTATCTCTAAACTTCTCAATCAATTGTTTTAAGTGGGAAAATAACCTAAATGGTTGACCTTTCTAGCATAAAACCGGATTGATTTTCTGATAAACTCTTTCTTTTTTTAGTCTTTGCTTAATCACTCTCTCTTGCAACTTCATAATGTCACTCATAACTTTGTTCCCTTGATAGTTCGTACAACTTTGTATATCTCCTTTATTTTTGGAAATAGGTACCACAATACCTTTTCTCCATTCATCTGGAATTTTCTTTGTCCTGAAGATCTTATTGAACATGTCAATCTCTCCCATGCACTTCCAAACCTATGTTGGTATACCAGATGATCCTAAAGCCTTTCCTATCTCCATCTTTCACAAAGCTTCTTTCACTTTAGGTATATCCTAATCCTATGAATATATCTATGACTTCCAACCTCAATTATGTCAAGGTTCTTCCCAATGTTGTTGTGCTCCAAGAGTGGTTGTCATTTAACGATTTTGAAAATAAATTCGTCACCATCCATTGACCACATCATCCTTCATCAAGACCCTTGTACCCTTAATCTTAATGCATTTAATATGATCTAGATCCCTATACATCCTCTCTATCAGTTTTGCTAGTTTGAAGACGCCTTTTCACTTTATCTAACCCTAATTTATTATAAGATCATCACATGCCTTAAGCTTAGCCTTTCTATTTTCTTAGTGTTATTCTCGGCATTTTTATATTATTTTAAGTCTTGATCACTTCTATTCCATTGCCAAGCATTTTAACATAATCGTTTTTCGCTAATAGCTATTTGAATTTCATGACTTCACCACCAAATTTCTTAATCTGAAGGTCTTTTGTACCTCTAGATTCTCTTAAAACTTCTTTTACCACTTTCTTAATACAATCAGCCATTTCATTTCACCTGACATTAACTTCATACTCATAGGTTCTATTTTCCTTCTTTTATCAATTTATTATTAAATAAATCTATTTCTAAGTGTCTCCGAGCAGCGAGGCCACACCCATTCGCAGTAGTTCATCCGGCCCTTTCTAGATAATATCGGATAGGAAGAACTTCATGTTTTGATTGCTCCTCCTCAATCCCTTTGTCAGGCCCGGTAAAGCTTTGGGTGGGAATGCTCACTAGGGAATTGATTTTTCAGGCAGGCTTGCTCCTTAATCATTTAAGAGGTGGTTGAGTATCAAGTACTTGCAATCCTAGAGGAGATTCAATCTATAAGGGGAGAGGCTAGGGGTGGACATTCTACTATTCGACATCGTCGCCCCCGCCCCCCCCCCTCCCTTCTTGAGGCACATATTGGACCAAAATACTTTCCCGCACATGGCAGCATTGGGGTCTCCGTGCCCCTTAGGTCTTATCTTGGTTACGAGGCCTCGAGGCATACCTTGGTCATCCGGTGGCTTCTTATCCACAATTTGAGTTTCCTCGATGATCGTTCTCGGGCACGCCCAAGACAGCGTGTTCATGGCAGATCGAACACACTAGAAGTACTATGCCTTTCGAATCATAGCACCAATAAATCTATCTGGGAGGCCCTTTTCCAGGTCAACAGTGACACAGATCCTTGCACAGTTTTTAACCCATTGCCTATCCTGTGGTGGCTCATGGAGTAGACAGCGAGTAGAGTGCATAAGTACAGAGTGAGGCCTTACGACACGCTCCTAGGGACTACCCACTTTACCTACCAATTTGTTCCAATGCTTCCTCCTAGGAACGAGAGAAAGAAATGATCCTCCCCTCCTCTAGTTGAAATCTAGTACCCATTTTCCCATCTAAGGTTAGATAGCCTATAAGGTCCTTTGGATGTGCAAGCATCGTGTCAACGTCAAGGTGAACATGGAGATGAAGAAACCCTTCCACACATTTCGACTGCCTTTACAAAGACGTCCAAAATCTTCTCCAAGCTTTGAGGCTTTAGGGTTGAGCTTTGTTGAAGATTTCCTGTAATGTATCTCTATCTCTTCTATAACTCCCAAATCATCGACTACCACCACTTGGGAACCTACCGAGCTTTTCCGAGTGTATTCTCCACATCGCTTCCTTCCCTCTGTTTTCTCCGTTTTAAATTTCCACTACCTAATTCTAGGATACCTATTAATTTCACTCTTATCTCTTCCATCTCTTTATGCAAATATCCATAACCATGAGCTTATGTTGTGTGGTCAAACTCTCTTGAGACGTCGTCAAACTCTCCTAAGAATCACAATTCCCAATAGCGATCGAGAAAAATTAATTTTATTTTCCATTTCCACTCTCTTGGGAGTTTTTTTTTTTCCCTTCCATTCTTATTTGCTTTACAGTTAGTTGTTCGAACAAAAGGGGGAGTTTTGAGAACTCTTAACTCAGTGGCCAAGTTGGTCCTTGCCCAAAACGAGTTAACTCAGCAAGTTGAACAATCAGATAGCAAAGCTAGGGCGCGTTTTCCAAATTGTTAACAGCTAAAGTCATATGCTGTGGTTTGCACCCTGACCTTCACAAAGACAAAAGAACATCACTCACAGTTCAGAACTATGCATTCATGTAATGAAATGTTGCAGATACTCTTTACATGCTTAAACTTGGGGATATTGAATTTTTATTTTATAAAAAGTGGCAATTGCCCAAGTCGACTTCTTATGTTTTTCCAAGCATTTTTGAGAAGAGGTAACTATCTTAAACAAGCATGTAAAGTGATACATCATACATATACAAAAGTTGACATAATTAAAAATAAATAAAATGCAGCATCTTGCAAAATGGCTAAGCAAGATACTAGAATTAAAAAGTAACAGATGGTTTTGTATTTCAAGGTGGATTGAGCACTAGAGATCTGTTGAGAGCCCCTTGTTATAGCCAAGCCATCTGCAGTGAAATTAGCCCCTCAACAACTATGATAAAAAGATATATTTTGTGTGGCACTGAGAAAAAGCATCTCTTCAAAAATCTTATCCCGCTGGTCAGTGGTGCTCCCAGAATCTGCTTGACGATTAAAGGGGGGCCCTAGTTTCTATTGAATAGCTTGAGACCTTGTAAGAGGGTATGAGTCTCAGGGTGGCAATGTCTATAGGCCCTGAGAAGGTTAAGATTGATCTCTCCATGTCCCCAAGTATTCCTCCCACAACTGCCCTACCTGGTTTACCAAATGAGCACAAAGTTGGATTTTGATAGTGCCTTGTTCTGGTGGTTACCTGCAAGAGGACCTAGTTGAATACTCTATCAGATCTGGCTATGGTGTACTCCCAGTTCCGTATGAAGTCCGAGGTTGTGTAAGTTTTGAACCCTAAAAGCTGTCTCACCCATTCAACCACCACTGTTTCGATGTTCTCCATAACTTTAGGATGGATCTCTCCTTACCTTCAAAGATCCTTGGTTACATTCCGGCCAAACATTCCATAACAAAGCAAAATTGAAGCCCTCCAAAGTATTACCGTGCCTTTGGTAGTTGCGGTGAGACAAAAAGTGTTTTTCCAAGTTGAAAATGTGTTTTTTAATGTTCATTTACATTCAGTTACGAGCCTGGTCCCAGAAACATCACTTCTGACTTAATCATGTCTTTGAATCACCAGACCAAGAAAACACCCATGAACTACACGATTTTCAATAATGAACCTGCAACCCACAACTTTATGTAGCCAAACTGAGCTTCATCACTTATATGTAAATGGAGAAGCTTTAATGAATGGAGAAGCGTTAATCAATGAAGGTGCTTCTTGATTTCCACCAACTCCTTCAAGGCAAACTAAACGCAAAAGGAAAGCCTCCCATAGGATCAATGTGACGAACCATTCTTCAACTCCATGCTGCATATGTTCGTCAAACGCACAAGAAACCCGCAAACCAAGTGATGAACACATCCCTCCCCCATGCCACACTCCACTCTGATATTTTTATGCACAGAAAATTATCTAAAAGTATTCACCTGTACCACTTATTCTGTAATGCAAACCACATCTAACCCACAACCATACACTGTACAGACCATTGAACCAACCACTTGCAATACATATTAGAACAATTTTAAAAAATGGCATGTGAGACACATGTTCGTAATGTGTCCATATTCTAAAGATGGATGTATCCTTAAATTTTAGAAATAAAATTTTATTGGTGTTGTGCAGTAGGGCGACATTTGACTAATCGAACAAGCGCTGATCTTGGGCACTTTGAATCTAAATGTGTCTCATCCGTGTTACTTCATTTTAGGTTATTAGTTTCCAACCATGCTTAACTTATAACTCTTAAGGATGTGGTTGACTAGTTTTTCCCTTGGAACTAAATTCATTAAAGCACCCAAAGTCACCAAAACTGGGAAGCCTTGGACTCATCTTTATGGAATCACATTCCAGAAACCTGATCCTTGACTAATACTATGATACCAGCTGATCAATTCCCTATTGTCCATTTTTAGGATCAACATACTTACATTACAATATTCCATACAACCTTTATCTAAATGAGAATTCCCAGAATCTCAGGGGCCAGTCTTAAGCCTAAAAAATAAAATTGAGGTAATCATTCTTGCCCAAGAATTGCAATGTGAAGCAACCTGATGAAGAGAAGAGTCCCATAGGTGGGATTATGGTCACTGTCGAAAGCTAAATCTATCAAACCTGTATGACCTGTTCAGTATTTGATCACATTCAGATCAATCCCCAAGCACAAAATTGCCCAGATTGGCGTCTAGAGTTACCACCAAAGATAAGCTTAAAGGTGACATCAGACCAATAACACAAGCTTTGCTGTCCAAATCACGATGCAGCCATGCATCACTTAGACAATGGCCTTTGAAGAATACAATGTAATGTGTTCCTTATTAGGACTAAAATCAACCAAATCCTTTCAAAATCCCTTAGAAGGGTGGGGTTTTCTCTTTTCCTCCTCTCTTCTCAAACTTTCCATATCACACATATGCTTGTTAACCAGAGATTAGAACCTCCCCGGTCGCATCAAGCATAGACCCAATGCTGCATATTGAGCTGTAGGTTTGGGAAAACATATATACTCACAATTCCCATTTTGGTTTTTGTTTATGGTCTTCTGACCCATTCTTTTTGTCGGGGGCCCAACGGCTCCCTGGACAACTGCTTGTATGTCTCTCCTTCATTTCAACATAAATGTTAACAGTTCTCCAAAAAAAAAAAAACATATATACTCACAATTTCTTGCATAACTGACATTTTCTTGGGGTAGAAAATGCTGCCACTTTTATTTTGACTGTTCACAATTAGAGAATTGAAAGTGAACAATCCAATCATTAAAGTGCACACATGAATGATTATAAACATAAAAAAATATGCGTAAACACTTGAACAGCATGCCCGCACCCAATGCTAATTACTCCCATGGCGATTCCAAGGTGATCCCCAATTGTATCTTTACCTTAACATGCTCAATCTACCACTATAATTCCCTTGCATTGATTAGTTCTCGAAAAACATCGGCCACGCTGACTCCCAATTAGCTGAATGTTTGGCATTGCTCACCGGCCTCAAGACCCTTAACCCATCTGGGCCTCAACCACTTATAGTGGAGGGATATGCAAAAAACATTATCACTTGGGCTGGCTCTGAGCCTCTCCCGTGGTATCTGGCTTTGATTTTTGATGAGATTACTCACATTTGCAGGGATTTAGATGTCTCATGGAGGCATATTTGACGGGAATCCAATGCCCTGGCAGATCAACTGACTAAAGATGGAGTGTCATCCAGTAGCTCAGGACCGTGATTGTCTGCTTTTTTGGTTTTCCTTTTTTTTTTAAACTTTTCTTCATTGTAATGGGCAAGTGTTATGGCCTACTTTTGGTTGTCAGTTGCCCATTTCTGTCGGCTTTTTGGTTCTACGCCCGAACATTTGTTTGTATAGGACTGCTCTTCCGGGGTAGTCTATTCTTTTTGGCATGAAGCCCCGCCTGTGGGTATCCTCTGCAACACTCTTGTACTTACTATACTTTCTTTAATACAACAGTTAACAGCATAAAAAAAAAATTCCCTTTCATTGATTAATGGTTCTTTTCAGACAGTTCTATTTCACAATTACACCATCTGCAACACAAAACCATAATTAAAGTCCCACAAAAGAAGGGGGTGTAGCTCCTCATTAAAGCGATACATCTTCCTTTCCTAGGGACATGGAGCTATGACATATTGAAGATATGAAATACTACTATGAGGGAAGTGATTTACTCAAACCCAGTACATAACACACTGTAGGAGCATATTTGCAATTAACCTTTCCCAAAAAATTATACAACATTCAGTATCATAAAAAATGAAGATAAAGCAGATAAGTAAACCAAAGAGCAACGATACTGAATCGGTATAGTTGAAATTTCATTTGCCTCAGATACCTGAAGTGGATGCCTTCCTCCCCCAAATGCAAGAATAGTTTCCCGGAACTTGTGACCTCTTTCTTTGATGGCCTAGTGCAAGAAACAGATTATCACACAATATTAGTAAAGAAGAGGAATATATTGATTAACCTAACCAGTCCAATAAATATCATCAACAATCATCCAATATCAGAATTTTACAAGTACACACCAGATAACAACCCTGCACTTAGAAAAGAGAATATAATATTCTCAGAAAACATACAAATCCCCTAACTGAAGTGCTTCCTCTATCATGAAAATCCTTACTAAGAATCAACCGAATTAAATTACATTAATTGTTATTTTAGCTTCAAGCCCATGGAAGTTGTTTATTGACAACTGAAACCAGTATCCAAGCACTGCATTGAGGATCCTGCCTTTGTTCCTTGGTGGAACTAGTAACACTTAGTATGTTTTGGCAATAGATGCAAAAATCAAAGACATAAGTTCCATTCTTAGTGGAAAGATTAAGCCAACAATGCATATTAGCACACTAGCAAGTGAGATTGACCTTTGCCCACAGTCACTGCATTTGAACATATCTGAAGCATAACGTGTGAGAAACGTGATGTCCATAGACATTTCAATACCGGTCCTAGAATGTTGGGTTTTTGTAGCCATTCATAAGAGGTCCAAGCATGTCAAGCCATGCTGCTATGCTTTTATTAGACATGTACATGTTTGAAAATGTTTTTATTAAACATTTACATGGTATGGGGTTGAGCGAGTTCTAAGACATTTAAAGGTAACCGAGAACTATGCGCTCACATATGGGGGAGGTTTAGAGATTGTTGTGCAAGGGTATACAGATGCAAGCTATCAAGGTTGATGATATGAAATCCACATCTGGATACATGTTCATGCTTGGAGGTGGTGTTGAGCTTGTACGATGTACATGAGTACGAATCTTTTGCGACAACCAAGCCACGATCTGTGTGATTAAGGAGCCACAATTTCATAAGAGGTCCAAGCATATCAAGTCATGCTACTATCATGTTCAGAATGAGGTACAACTTGAAGAGATAAAGATCACATATATTCCCACAGAGGCAATGATAGCAAACCCTTTGACAAAGGGGTTATTTGCAAATGTTTTTATTGAACATGTAAATGGGATGGGGTTGAGAGAGAGTAAGGAAGAGAGATTGTAAGGCCTTAAAAGACCAAGTGAGAGATATTGGGTTTTTGTGCTCATTTAAAGACGTTACGAGAGCATGTAGTAAAGTTTTATAATAGTGAAATAATGAACTCTAGTGGAAGTATTGTCCAGAGGGGACGAAGTTGGCAATATTGAACCAAGACTCCAACTAGGCTTGACAAGCTAGGTAAAGTTGAGTTTTAAAACCCTATGAGACCTGGGCATATAGCACAACCGAGAAAAGTTTGCAGGGTTAGCTATTGATGAGGATGGAGTCATGGAGAGATGCCCAGGATAGTTGGCCAAGGGAATTAGTGACCCTTGTGTGTGATTGGTCGGCCTAAAGAGACAACAACCAAATCCTCATCATGATCATCACACGACATGTAGGTGTTGCATGTGCATGTATCAGAGGTAGCCCTCTTGTGTATTCACAAGTCTGTGTGACCTAGGCTTGTCCCTAGGGGGAACCTGTAATCCATTTACTAGGATTATGTTCTCATCATCTATTGGTTGACTTTGGTAGTCCAATCATGAATCCCTGTGATGGACTCTGGGTCGCGGGAACTATTGGGTTAGTTTGAGAAAGTGAGCATGGGACATAATCACTAATAGAGATGGAGTGCCTCAGTGCTTTCGCATTTTTCTTAATGAAGTTGGATTTGATTCCCATCAAAATAATTTTAAAATGATTAATTTTGTTTTAAATATATTTTTTTAAATATTAAAATAAAATTTTAGAAGTCTCTGGATATTTTATTTCATCAAAATCAACTTTTAAATAAGATAAAATTGAATTTTCAGGCATTTAAATATTCAAAGAAGAAAATAAAATATTTAAGAATTTCTAAAATTATTTTATTTATCTATAAATTATTTTATATTTGGGGGCCCATAACACATTAGGGCCCACCATTTTGGGCCCAACTTGATGGGGGGCATGGGGCTCACTATGTCTCCATAAGTGGGAGGACCCATTTTTCTCCGTTTTTATATAAGGTGGCTTGTGTTATAAGCCATGTAGATTGATTTGAAAGAGAAATGGAAGGTTTTGTAAAAGAGGCTAATTGATTTCAAAAAGGAAATATGTAGAGATTGATTGAAAATAAAAGGAAACACATTATACACTTTTTTTACACAAAATATTTGATAGGATTAGGTTAATGAAGTTGAGGGATAAGGTTCTAGCACTTTCCATTAGATCATGACGGAGGATTTATAAATTGTATGGTAAGATCTTTCACCCCACAGGTCACCTATGATCAACAGTCTAGATGGAATCTCATAAGGATGGCTAAACCCTAAAAACCTTAACCCTTACCTCACTATTATAAAATGTCTCAATGAGGTTCATCTCAACACCTAACCCTTGAACTCTCTCTCCTGTCATAGATGGCATGCCACCCTGTCTCTCTACTCTTCTCTCTCTCTCTCATACTCTTTAAGGAAGAAGGGGGCACGCTCGTATGGTTTGATACATAGAAAGAGGGCACTGAAAGGAGTGGCTATGTGGAAAGCAAGGTCTTAAATTCAAAAATATTCTTTTACTTTTATTCAATATACCTGAATTCCACTTATAAAGGCTACTAAATATTGTTGTAAATAAAAAATAATATCTAGATACAACTTAGGATCTTTATTTTCACTGCCAAAAGAAATAGAAACTATCTAGAAGCTTTAAACAAACTTCCAATATAATTTTTAGTACAAAACAAGTTCCTGAAAATTGACAGAAAAATAAAAAATAATACTGAAAATTAATTAAAACTACTGGGAAGACTTACCGAAAGATGCATGGAGTTACCTTCACAGGTCTTGGTACAACCCCGCACCCAATTCCCTGACAGATGACTTATTTTACTCCTTTAGGTGTTGCTGAAAATTCTGATATGGAAAGGTTTTCAGACGATACTTTTCAACTTAGGGTATGTAAAAGCTCAAAAACTTAACTAGGGTTTCTACAAACCCTGTAGGAACAAATTAGGGTTGAACTTGTGAGTTGATCTCTTTCTAGGCTAGGCTTCTCCCATTTTTTTTTGTCAAAGTACAGCAAACCTAGTTTCACTATAACACCACCCTTTTTTCTTTTAGGTGGCGTGACACATATAAGAGGAGAGAGGGTGGCGTACCTCCCTTCGGAGTCCAATGGAGTAAAGAGAGGGGAGGCACATCACTTCAAATTTTAGAGAGAGAAAAAAAGAAGACAGAAAGAGATAGGCGTGATGGAGGGAGAAAACTTGTGGGTGAGAGAGAGAGAGAGGAGAGAGAGAGAGAGAGAGGAATCTATTTTAATGGGAGCGAGATCTTGTCCTGATTTTAAAGAGGTTCGAAGTAGGTCTTGAAATAGAATGAAATTTATCTCCTAATTTGAATAGGATTTTCTTACGTATGCTTTATCTTTATTTTCCAACTAGAATTTTAGGATAATTAGGAAATTTGCAGGGTGAGAGAGATTTAATCAGATCCATCCATCTCACAAGTCAGCCATCATGATTTTAGATAGAGAGATAGGAACCTTATCCCCTTAGATTTTGACCCAAAACCAACTACTATTTAAACTTGAAATACAATCAAACTTATCATAGATCTCCCATACTCGAGGATAATCTATATTTAAAAGCTCCCATAGGATAGGCAATCAAATCTAATTTTAAAAACAAAAGATTTCCTATCTTTAACTAAAATAAAATTTGAAACAAGTGGGGTGTGCCCCCCCTTTTTCTTAAAAACACGGCGTGCCCACTTTTTCCTTAAAAAGTGGCATCCCAATTTTTGTTTAAAAAACAAGTATGGGCGCTACCCCCAGGGTGGCACGTGGTCCCCACTCTTAAAAAGACATATACATGTGGGGCTGGATCTTTGATTCCATATATGTTATTTTAAGTTCTAAACTTTTCAATAATATCGTTCTGATGAAAATTACAATCGAAAAAATATTTTAAAATTTTGAAAAAAAAATAAAAATCATAAAAATAATTTAATACCAAATAAAATATACTAGAACTGGACTAGTACAAATGGGTAAAAAATAGTGACAATAAGGGCACTCCATTTGCCCCAAGAATCATGATCCACTGCTATTTTTTTATCCATCCCAATAAAGACCCATGACCCACAGTCTCATTTCAAGGGATCATGATTGGCTTGTCAAAGTTGGACAATAAATAGTGGGGCTATGATCCTAGAATGTGGATTTCAATCCCCCCTTTGAGAGCAAGTCTAGCAATTGTCACCACAATGACAAATGGGGCTCTCTCTATGCACATGTACACATGTCCCTCTATAGGGTTGCTTCCCAATAATGTGGTTGTCATGTGTACATGCCGTACGGAAGTTTGTTAAGGTTTTGACCCTTGCTCTCACAAGCCTACAACTGCACACAGGAGGCCACATAGTTCTCTTGGCCTACAAACATCATCTCTGAACATTTCTCTTACCTCAACAAAGGATGACTTACTGAAAACCCTTCTCAGTAGTGCCACATGCCCAGGAATAAGAGTTTTGGACATGACCAGAGCCACAAACCACCCAACCCTTGGTTAGTCAACACACACACTCCCACTGAAGTGCATATTCCTTTGTAAAATATCATATTTACAAGCTCTCTAAGCCTTTAAAAGCCATAAAACCCAACATGCATGCCCCATATAGTTAAAGAGACCCCATCTTGTGTGTGCATGCTCTCAGTACTAACGCAAAGGGTTTGGCATAAACTTCCAATTTTCTAAGATTCGAGAAAGACCCAGATCCTGTGTGCCATCGGTGGAGGAGACCCGATATGGGGTGCGCAAATTCCATTAAAGCTAATCTTTTGGCACATTGTCTTGTTTTATGCATTCTTGTGTTTTCTTGTTCCCAATCTCAATTGATGCAATTTGATTATGTAATGAAGAGTTTTTGAAAGGTGGCAGCAAATTAGAATCCTTTTTTTTTTTCCTTTCATTTATTTGAGGGTCAATTGTAATACTTGGACATATGTAAGTATTCTAGCCAGTATTGCAAAAGAAAATTTATTTTCTTAAATTATATAAACTGTGCTAGTTCACATCGTCCACTTTCATAGAATGCATAAGTACAGAAGGATAAAAGCAGACATAACTGACATGAAAGACATACTCTCACAAAAAACAAAAAGATCCTAGAAGTTTGTGCACATAAGAATCTATATCCTAGAAGTTTGTGCACATAAGAATCTATATGCATATATTCATTGGCACATGCATGAGATTGGTGGTTGAATAATGTAGTTCATCAAATACACTACTCCCTTTAATTAACCTAATGAATGAGCTTTCAATTCAATCCAAGGGAAAGACATTAATTTCAATTGAAGATCTTGACCATGAGGAGGGAACACAGCAATATACAAACTTTGTCAGGCAATAGTATTTTGCAAAAATGCTCATCCTTTTGCAATTGATAGAAAAACAAAATAACATGAAAAAAAACCAATGTTTTCTTATAGAAAACCAGTGATGAATACTAGAAAACGACAAATTCACATGAACGCTTTTGACGAGCCAATCATGAGCCCCTACATGCGACTGTGGATCATGGGTCTTGTTGGATCGGTTTGAGAAGATAATTGAAAATCACGTTACTAGGTCAAGTAGAGTTCCCTGATAGTCACTTATCTTGACTCATTGGTACTAGTCCACTTCTAGATATTTTATTTGTATTAGAAATGTTTCTATGAACATTAGAATTTTTTTCAAATTTTTTTAAATTAATTTATGCTGCAAATTTCTTGAAAAGGGTATTTTGATACACTGATAGTGTGGAAGGGGATGTGGGCTCATTGGATCCAGCGCCACATGTGTGCTACACCACATGGAAGGGGGGGGGGAGGGGGGGTCTATGGGGGGCCACACCTCACACATGGGGTGGCACATCCCCCCTCTCTATTTTGTTTTCCTATTTTTGTTAACAAGTTTTTTTTTGTTAAAAGAATATCTTTGAAAAGGATATTGTATCCTAATTTTGTGGGAGTTAGTTATTAGAAATATGCTTCGACCAAAATAATCATTTCTTGACTTCATAGAAATTTATAGAGATAAAGGAAGTTCTAGAAGGTTCCTTTAGATTGGTATTATTCTAGTTTTACTAGATATGGATATGGGTCAAAGATTTAGGTGATAAGGTTCGTAATATTCCTCCCTAAATCATGACGGTCATTTAGGGGATGGATGGCTTAAATCTATTTCTCTCACCTCTAGATTTCTTAAAATCGTATTGGTCACGGTGAGTCATAATTGGATAGACATCCCTAGGGACCCTTGAGGTTTATATAAGGACGTGAACTCCCTCTCATTCTATGGTCAATTTCCTAGCCCCTCTCTCTCTCTC